AATACTACGAATACTACGAATACTACTGCTACTACTACTACTGCTGCTACTACTACTACTACTACTACTACTAGTAATAATAATAATACTAATACTAATACTGACAACAACAGTATGCATACTAATAAGAACAATAGAAACACACATCATATAAATGTCAGAAGCTGCATCATCACAATCATAACAACAATACAAATGTTCTTAAGTATACGAACAAGAACAACAATGTTCCTAACAACGAGTAAGAGAACTATGTTGCTGGGAAGGCTTCTCCAAAGCAAGTCAGGCTTGTATAGGACCGTGAATAATTAGAACAGAATGGATAGAGGTTTGGGGCATGTCATACTGTAGCCCTACTAGGGACTATAAGGGATAGTAACGGATAGTAATAAAGTTAAGTCAGGCTTCTATGTTCCCTGAGAACAGGCTTGGAAAGCCGAGGAGGCAGAACATGGCGAGACTAGGACAGGCAGCCACGAGGGGGCGACCAGGAGGAAACGGATGAGACTGCTCCAGGCCCAAAGACAGGATGTACAGACCTGTCATGTTCCACAGTCGCCCGCAGCACCTTCACACGAATGCATTGGCAACTAGCACTTCATGTCCTGATGCAAAGTTCAGGCAAAGCCTCTGTAACGGCTTACTGAATGTGCTCAGCAGATTTGGCCCGCAGCTAGCAAAAAAGGCGATGCATGTTTGCAGGCGTACCGCGTCATCGGCGGGTCGTAGCCAAAGTAGCATGTCCATAATTTAAAGTCGTCCGGCCTCTGGCCTCTGTTGACTGATAACAGCAATGTTGGAGGACCTCGCTGATGCCTTGGAGAAGAAGTGCCGGAGCACGTGGTGGACCTCATCGAGACCGCCAGGATACATGTCTTCTGTGGACAGGCCACAACTGAACCATGTCATTGAACATAGCTTGGCCGGAAATTGGGGAGAATTCCAGGCAGCGAGGAAACCTTGAATTCCACTGTTTCTCAGGGAAACATCGCTTTCAAGGACTGCAGTGGAACCTTCACGTCTGTTCTTCGATGCAGCTGACGCGTGAAAGCACGATGGTGCTAGTGCCTTCGTCAGCCACCTCTTCCATGTCTTCGGGCTCCATGAAAGCATCGCTCGGATGCAGACTCATCCTGGTGTCGTGGACGAAGTCGCCGAACTCCTCCACGAGCTCCATGTATTCAACCTCTCTTCGGTGAGCTCTCCTTCGTCGGCACTGCAGGAGCCGACACCACAGTTCCCGGTGAGGCTTAGGACAGTGCCCACCTACTGAAGGACGGCTCAGCCGCAGCTGGGCATGTGTGTAGCTCAAGCTTGCGGGTTTGCGAAAGACCGGGTATCTTTTGGAAAGCGAGGCGGACGCCAAAAGAACACTTCTGGCAAATACCGGAAACCCGGTGCAAGCTATCCACTCACTCGCTCCCTCACCCACTCACTCTCTCGCTCTCTCACTCTCACTCTCTCTCACACTCACTCTCACTCTCACTCTCTTTCTCTCTCTCTCTGTCTCTCTCCCTCTGTGGATCGATCGATAGAGCGAGAGCCTGGATTTCGTGTCCCGCAGCATCAATTCGAGACAGACAGGCTTCTCCCGAAACGAACTTGGCCTGGTGGAGACTGCCAAACGCTGCATGCCTCGACAGGAGATGCTTACCCCAAGCCGAAGTTTCAAGGAACCTGTTGCGAAGCCCCTAACTGTCATCAGCAGCCCTACATATGTCAGAGGGTTCAGGGTTTAGGGTTTAGGTTTAGGGTTTAGTGTTTAGGTATGTTTAGGTTTAGGGGTTTAGGGCTTAGGGTTGCAGACAACACGGAAGCCTTATAAACTAGAAACACCAAAACAGTTGGATCTTCACTATCAGGAAGTAAAGATAACACACCCTGGGTTCTTCCCAATCTCAAGACACCCCCTAAACAAAACATAAGGGTTTAGAGTTTAGGGTTAGGCATACCCATAAATAAGGGACTCAATAATACATATATACATATACATATACATATACATATACATATACATATACATATACATACACATATACATACACATACACATATACATATACATATACATATATATATATATATATATGTATACATATATACATAAATATATATATATATATATGTGATAATTATAAATGTATATACGTATATATATATATATATATACATAGTCTATATATATATAATATGTATGTCTATATATATATATATATTTATTTATTTATTTATATCTATATTTATTTATATTTATATTTATATTTATATTTACATTTATATTTATATTAGATTTATATTTATATTTATTCATCCATATATATATATACATACACATATGGACCGCTCCCAGATTTCAACGCCTGGGCACCAGCCGTGGATCTGAGGCAGCTGTCCGCCGAGCCTTCGAATGCGGGAATTTAAGGGGGTTGAGGGATTGAAGCCTTTTGGGAATAGGGATTTAAGCGTGTGGGGTGGGGCTTTAGGGATGTGGGATTTAGAGTGCTGGGTTTAGGGCCTCTATCTCAGTTAAGCTGGCCCTCTGTCATTCTGGTCGCCGCCGGCGCTTCGATGTCGCGGTTGCTCTTCTGGGTTAGCTCGACATTCTGGCTTGGGGCCGCACTTCTTGATTGCAGACTCATTCTACCATCCTCCCAGATTTCCCAAAGCAGCGGTGAATGAATGATGCGGGTGGCTGTTGAAGGGTCACTCCACGGAATGTGTAGCCGGCTTGAGCGGAATCTTGGAAGCTCGATGAACACGGTGAGTGACAAGCTTAAGGATCCTGGTTGACATGGCCTCTGCCATCGCACTGGCATCCACATCAAAGGCAAACACCTCCATCAGGGACACACCACTTGCTTCCAGTGTAACACACTAACAACGGAAATAAGACACGCAAACTATTATTGTGAATATCACAATTGTAGCAACTATTACTCCTACTTGTCACCATTATCAGTCGTCCTCGTCGTCGTCGTCGTGGTAGTGGCGGCGGCGCCGCCGGTGGTGGTGGTGGGGGCGGCGGCGGCGCCGCCGGTGGTGGTGGTGGTGGTGGTGGGGGTGGCGGTGGTGGCGGCGGCGGTGGTGGTGGTGGTGGCAGTGGTAGTAGTAGTCGTCGTCGTCGTCGTCGTAGTAACAGTGGTAGCGGAGCAGCATCATAAGCAGCAGCATTCGTCGTCGTCGTCGCCGTCGTCGTAGCAGCAGCAGCAGCAGCACAGAAACTCATGTCGTTCGCTCGCAAGACGCTTTTTGCAATCAACTCCCGTCTATGAGCCGCCCCTGTCTTCAGCTCTGTTTCGTCTATCGGTTCCCGAAGCCCTCAACCAACACCCGACCCCCCACACCCACCGAGCCCACATCGCCTTCGATGTGCTTGGGAGATGACGAAGCAAAGCCCTGCCAACGAAATTCGTCCAGCTGCGTAGTTCTACTCCTTCTCACAGCTTATGTGGACGAGGTTGCGGAGGCATACGTTCGAGTATGTCACGGCGCATTTTGCTGGCTCAAACCGTAGCTTGCCGTGCCAGACTATGTCTAAGACATACCTGTCATCTTCATGAATGTTGTTGCCTTTACGGCCAACGAAAATGGCACTCTTTGGCGAAAAACTGGGACAAATGCCGAGATTACAGAACATGATGTTAGACCACCTTGGATATTCCCTAATATATTACGCTACATACACTAAATCATGCTCCATCAGATTTCTGTTCACTACACTCATTCAATGGCTCTGAATTACATTATACCGGATCGCAGTGCATCTACATTGCCGAAAAAATTGCGCTGCAGTGCATCGAACAGTCTTGTGTTAGGGTTTAGGGTTTAGGGTGCAGGACAATTTCTTACCTTCGAGATTAGCAGGATGAATTACACCAGGGGCCCTGTGCAATCATGCCTCGTTGGATTCGCTGAACTTACACTTCGCTACACGTTTGGCATTCCGCTGCCTTCGAAAAGACTCTGCCATCAGATAATCCATCTGAGGGTATGCCATGAGTTCGGGCTTCCTTTTGGGCATTTTCTTGTTCAAAGACATTACAATATACATTACAACAGCCAAGACGGTTTGAAGGTAGCACTATCCAAGAGCAACCCCTTCTGTGCCTACACCCTAAACCCTGAACNNAACCCCAAACTCCAAAGCCCTAAACCTAAACCCTAAACCAGTACACTGGGCCTGGAGTGGCCCCCACCCCCGAAAGTGGCGTCAACCACATGCTCTGCATCCGTCTTGGCGCTGAGCAGGGCCTTTTTGGTTTGAGGTTTGGTACAACATGATACAGAAGCAGATTTGAAGCAGATGATGACTCAAACTGCAAAGCAAACAGTACGTTACCTAATCTGGCAAGAGTGCATCGGAATAGACATCTGCACCTGGCGAAGTGCTCTGGAAACCTCTACCCTACATACACATGTACATCAAATGCTGATGCACATATGCACACACCAGGGTACCGGCGAGCTCGGAAAACAAACTCAACAAAAACAAACAACACAACTTAGGAAACAGCCGCAACGACCAACAACCAGGCCGGCCCGAAGCTTCACGCAGAGGTCGGAGTATTAAATAATAACATAAAAGTCCCTGATAGTCCATCTTCAATATACACTGATAGCGTAATTGGCTCCAAAACCCTAGTCTAATCATAAAGACCGGCAAATTACACCCAACAGTTCCAATCTTGGTAGTCTCCTTGTGGTCAGTCTACGAATATGCGCGAGCGCTTGTTCAAATTCAAAGGTGGTGATTTTCCAGTTCATCTTCAGCCGTGGATCACTTCAGATTTCTTGAGATGCCTGTAGGAGATTCTTCGTGCTGCTGAATTCTCAAGATTTCCGAAACTAATCTGGGCTCCCCGAGACTTCTATCGGATGTGCTGAAAGCGTCCTCTGGGTTTGGCATGAATGCCCCCGCTGAGTACGTAGGGCTTCGGAGGCGTGAGCATGAGCTTACCCTAATGTAGGAACCTGATTCAGAGACCCTGGCCCTATAACCCCAATATATTCGGGTTCATATGAAGAAGACCCAGTGTTTCTTAATCAGGCTCCTATGTTAAGTTGGTCGGGGGTTCCTGGCCGGGCCGATATTCTGCCGAGTCTCCTCCACCACAGCCGTACAGAGAACCGGCTCGTGCCCATACAGCCTGGCCGGCTCTTTTGCGTTTAGGTTCCAGGGTTCAGGGTTCAGGGTCCGGGATGAGGGTTTAGGGATTAGAGTGATTAGAGTAGTTTTTTTTTAAAGTAGTTTAGGGTTTAGGGTTTAGGGTGTGGGGTTCAGGGTTTCGGGCAGTAGCCCCCTTTCTCCGCATGAAGAAGTTAGGGTTTAGGGTTTGGGGTCTAGAGTCTAAACCCTAAACCCTAAACCCTAAACCCTAAACCCTAAACCAGGGTTCAGGGCAGTTTCGGGTTTATGGCCTGGGGCTTCGGGGTTCCCACCTTCCAAAAGACACAAGCTTCCGGATGCTCTCTCGCCTCCCTCCTTGCATCATCATGGCTGGACTAGCTGCACGAGAACATGTGGGTAGTTCTCTAAATTCGGGTCCCTTTTGGGGTCCTTATTATACGAGTGCCGTACTATATTGGGGACCTCAAAGGGGACCCTAATTTTGAGAACTACCCATGTGTGGTCACTGATCTCTCTCGCACGCTGCGGAACTGCACTTGATTCCGTTGCATGCGATGCTAGTATCTTGGGATGTTCGCTGTCGTATTGTATTGCACCTTGTTGTCTGCTGCTGTATTCTACTGTATCAAAGTGTATTCCACTGTTGTCTCTTGTACATTATCTTGTATTGAAGTGTGTTCTGTTGGGTGTGTGTGTGTG